TTGGGTGTACATGTTTTGTAAGGGATGTTCGTCCATCTGTCACTAAGCTAGATCCAAAATCCTTGAAGTGCATCTTTTTGGGGTACTCCCGGGTTCAAAAGGGATATCGTTGTTACTGTCCTAGTCTTGGTCGATATCTTGTCTCCATCGATGTGAGTTTCCATGAGCATGTTCCTTTTTCTTCACCTACAGATTCTGTAAATGAGGGGGAGGGTTCTGGTGACATTTTATTTTACACTACGGGGCTGTTTGGCAACTTCTGAATAGGTAAGTGCTGAACCAGTAAGAGGTCTGAACCATTAAGAGCTAGTATATTGCTTAACTATTCAGAGGTAAATGTCTGATCAATTCAGATAAGAGGTCTTAACCATTCAGACTCTATATAATACTTAACCATTCAGAGGCAAATCTCTTAACCATTCAGACATCTGAACCATTAAGAGGCTGAAACAAACAGCCCCTACCTCTAGTGCTACAATGCCCTCTACTGGTGTGCCTCCCATCATTCAGGTTTACTCCCGCAGGAAAAAACCAAGAGCACCTTCAGTTGTCCCTGAATCTCTTCCTGCCACATTGACTGATCAACCACGTACCCCTACACCAGTCTCACGCCTTGAGTCAAGCACTTCGTCGTTGGATCCTGATCATGCTGATGATCTACCCATCGCTTTGCGTAAAGGTAAGCGGTCCTGCACCTACCCTGTTTCTAATTGTGTCTCTTATGCTCATTTGTCTTCTACTGCTTGTGCACTCACCTCTTCTCTAGATTCTGTCCCTCTTCCTAAAACTGTCAGAGAAGCACTCTCTCATCCTGGATGGCGTACTGCCATGATAGAAGAGATGAAAGCCTTGGAGCAAAATCATACTTGGAGTNGGAATGGTGAAAGGCCAATCTGATCATTCTGTCTTTTATAAGCGATCTAGGGGTGGAATCATCTTATTGGTTGTTTATGTAGATGACATCATTATTACAGGAAATGATTTTGCAGGAATTTCATCACTCAAGACATTTGTCCATAGTCAGTTTCAGACAAAGGATCTTGGACCGCTGAAGTATTTTCTAGGGGTTGAAGTTTTGCGAAGCAAGAAAGGTATATTGCTTACACAGAGGAAGTATGTGCTTGATTTGTTGTCTGAGACAGGAAAGCTCGCATCCAAACCATGTAATACACCTATGGTTCCTAACATGCAATTAACGAAAGACGGTGAATCATTCAGTGATCCAGAGAGGTACAGGAGATTAGTGGGTAAACTGAACTACTTGGTTGTGACCCGCCCAGACATTGCTTATCCTGTTAGCGTGGTAAGTCAGTTTATGGCATCCCCAACAATTGATCATTGGGCTGCAGTGGAACATATTCTGTGTTACTTGAAAGGAACTCCCGGTCGTGGTATTGTCTATTCAAATCACGGTCACATGAACATTGAAAGTTATGCAGATGCAGATTATGCAGGGTCGAAGGATGATCGTAGGTCCACCTTCGGTTATTGTGTCTTTGTGGGTGGGAATCTGATTTCGTGGAAGAGCAAGAAGCAGAACGTTGTCTCTCGTTCTAGTGCTGAGTCTGAATATAGAGCCATGGCACAAGCTGCATGTGAAATAATATGGATATATCACCTCCTCAATGAAACTGGTTTCAAAGCTCCCATCCCTGCGAAACTATGGTGTGATAACCAAGCTGCTCTTCATATTGCATCCAAACCAGTTTTTCACGAAAGGACGAAACATATTGAAGTAGATTGTCACTTTGTTCGGGAGAAAATACAGAAGGGATTGATTTCTACTGGATTTGTGAAGACATGAGATCAATTAGCAGATCTCCTTACTAAAGCGCTAAATGGCACCAGGCTTATGTATTTATGTAACAAGTTGGGCATGATAAATATATATGCTCCAACTTGAGGGGGAGTGTTATTAGTAATAATATTAGTATTTTAGTCAAGTCCTGAGAATATGGCAGGATCTGATTTGGCCATTAATATGGGTGATTTAGGCATTAATATGGGAGATATAGTTTCCTTATATTAGCACCCTTCTTATGTATATATATAGTCATTTTGTAATATGTAATTATGTATTATGAGGAAAACCTCTGATTATCAGTCACACTGTGGAAGTACATGCACAATCTTCTTGCAGATCAGTTTTGCATCATTTATGCCGTTGGTTGCAGTTGTAGCTCTTACATGGCATATATGTTGTGTTTTCTTAGTGCTGGATGGCAGGTAAATTGTTGAAGCAAAAAGTTGACAAGGATGAGATGCTTGAGCTAACCAAAGAGCGTCTGAAGTTTAAATGCACTAAAGAGGAAGCAACTGCTGTTTATCGGAGATTTAGGGCACTGAAGAAATTATTTTTGCAAAACATGAAGAGGAATGAGCAGTCTGGGAATGTTTCGGAGCATTGTGAAGCAGATAAGAATGGTGACGCTTGCAAGAATCTGGTTCAACCACCTTTAGAAGAACATATTACTGATGAGATCTTGTTAGTTGAACAACCTAAGGATTTCGGGGTGGGATATGATCATCTAGCAGAAGTACAGGAAGATGCTTTAAACGTAGTTGTCGGGTTTGAACATTATGTGGAAGAAAATACTGCAAATAAGTATAATATGATAAATATTGGAGGCAACCAGAAAGACATTGCTAGTAACTGCGATGTTGTAAACCAGACATCCGACAAAGTTGCTTCTTCAGATGATGGTGGTTTGCCCCCTCAAAATCAAGTATGTGGTCTCCCGTCTTTCTTAAAATATATTTATGGTATGCATATTATTACATTTTCATAATTCATATTACCCATCTTTGGTCTATTGCCAATGGAGCTAAAGAGTCATTATTGCCAATGCTTTGACTTCGGGTAAATAATGGACTACATCAAAATGGCACATTTAACTTCCCATTGCTTCTTACTTTCTATAAAGTTTTGGGTAGTGAGAGAATCAAGGATCAAAGTAAAACAACCTCTCTGCTTTTAGTTTCTTGACCCTCCATACCCAGACAAAGTTAGCATGAAATTTAGCATCAATTAACTATGCAAAGTTACATATTCTTTTATTTTTAAGTATGGTTGATGACTAGCCATTATATAATATCAATTGAATCAGTGTAGTAGGGCTCATTCATCAGAGAACCAAGGTACATCACATATTGAAGCTGGAGTTGCGGGGCCTTTTATTGCTACGAGACATGAAACGCCTAATTCTGAAGCTGTGGTGGCCGAAAATTGTGAACCTCAGCATGCTACTAATGCTAACGGCCACTCTATACATGGTGAAGTTGCATATGTGAGCTGTGTTCAAGAGGATTATGACTTACAAACCTCCAGAGCTTCCCAATCGACTGGAACATCAACACAAGCTTTGCATGATGGTGATTCACGTTCACGAGGTTTGCGGAGTTTGAAAATGTGCTATGCGGTAGTGGGTTTTGGCATTTTTTCTGATTTCTACATTAAAACAAGATATAAAAATTTCAGCTCTGAAAGTGATATGTTTCTAATGTGGCAATGCTTCTATTCTATAAAATAGAGAATCACTTTTGAGAGTTGGATAATTTGCTCATTGAAAATTCTTGTCCATAAGAGCTAAAACAGTACATGTTTTTGCATACTTGTTTGATTATTACTCCGGGGTATTATTTTTTACATCCATTTGCTAGAGGGTGTTTTGGGAATCAATATTCAAGAATCAAAATCAGATTTAAAGAAGCAGGCCCTTACCCACATAGAGTTAATAACTCTTCTTTACACCCCCTTAGTAGTTATTACATTTTGTGTCTATGCCTCTCATTTATCCAAATACTGATATAACCGTCTAATATACTATCATGGCCCTACACCGGGGGGGGGGGGCTATCTGTGGATCCAATCCGCTTGATGTCTTCTTGGAATTCAGAATTTGCTTTTGCATGCAGATCCTCTTCACAATGAATTTGATAGGATACGTGGAGAAATGGTGCATGCTGCCAAGAATCAAGAAGATTTGGTAATCTTCGAGTTTCAAACATGATGATTTACTCCGCTTCCTTTTTTTACCTGTGTATTTATGAGTTCTTCCCCTTTTTTGCCACCTTTAAACAGAGAAGCCAGCTTAAATCTGATTGTGAAAAGGAGATCGAGGAAACAGTTGCAGAAATTCGTAACAGATACAATGCCAGACTTCAGGAGTCCGAGACGAAATACTCACTCAGAAAGAGCGAACTTGGTGGGAATATGAAAAAAGTTCTTTTGAACAAGTTATTGGCTGATACTTTCAGAACAAAATGCGAGGAGGATCTCAGGCCTTCAAGGATTGTGACTATGTGGCAAGGTGTGGATGTTTTCGTCAACTTTCCAATTTAACATTTTTTCCTTAATTTCCGCTTTACCTACCAGCTACAAGGTACCCCCAAGTCCCAACTAAATAGTTTTTATTGACACTTCTCCCTGGACTCTGGTGGCTGAATGCAGTTGTTTTTTTTACCAGAAAGATCAAAAGAACCTTTATGAAAATTGAATCTGTATGTACTTTAAGAAAATGTTTTCATAAATACGGAGTAAAAAGTGACTGGTTTATCTCAAAGCACCCCCACTTAAAGAGTGTATTTGAATTAATCATGCATATGTTATATACTTCCACACCTCAATCTGCTTTTAGATAACATGTGCTTTTTTGTTCCACTGCAGCAATACCTACCAGTTTTATGCAGCACTTAAATCAAGTATCAGTGCAACCGACATTACAATCTGCCTACCTCACTGGCTTCTCTTCACCCGGATGGCAAACTTCAGTACCGGCTAGTGTGAGACCACCAACAACTGCTTCCCCTTCTGCTGAGGAGCAAACTTCAATATCAGAAACTACGAGAGTGCCATCCCATTCTTTGCCCTCAGGTGGTCAAGAATCAGCTACTGCCCCATATGCAGTTGAATCCCCAAGAAGATTACCACCATCATCAATTTATTTGCCTCCAGCTAGACAGCAAAATTTTTCGATAGTTCAGTCGCGAACACCAACAATTGCCTCACCTTCTGCTGGCGAGCAAACTTCAATATCAGAAACTACGAGAGTGCAAATTCATTCTTTGCCCTCAGGTGGTCAAGAATCAGCCTCTGCTCCTTCTGCAGTTGAATCCCCAAGAAGACCACCACCACCATCAACAGTTCAGTCGCGGTCACCATCAATTGCTTCTTCTTCTTCTTCTTCTGCTGGAGAGCTAACTCCAGCCTCGGCAACTACAAAGCCACCATCCTTTTCCTTGTGTTCAGGCGGACAGCAATTAGCTACTAGCCAGCCAGCCATGTTCAATTATGCTACAGTTGACGAATCATCAAGAAGACCATCACGGTTTTGGTTCCTTCCAGCTAGGCAGCGAAACTCTTCCATGGTTTGGACGAGATCGCTACTAAATGCTTCATCTTCCGCTGGAGAGCCAACTTCAACACCTGCAATTACAAGACCGCCATCCTTTTCTTTGTCTTCCGGTGGACAGCAATTAGCTACTAGCCAGCCAACTCTGTCTAAATCTGCTACAGTTGACGAATCACCAAAAAGACCAACACCACCACCAACAATTGCTCTGCCTCAAGCTAGCAGCCAGCAATCTTCATCAGCAGTTTGGTCGCAATCACCATCAATTGCTTTGTCTCTCCGCGGACAACCTGTGGCTGGCCAACAGACTCCAGTTTCTTCAAGATGCTCCATGTTTGGTAAATCCTCTAGGGCTTCTAACAACCCACCAGTTATCTGTTCCATTACACCTTCCTCAGGTAACCTACGAAGAGGGGATATCCGGGCTCCAGCGCCCCACCTCCAATCTTTCAAGCCCTCAAGATTTTCCTTGGCTTCTTCTAACTTTCCCCCTTCAGATCCGCCCTCACTCAACCATGCCCTGCCTCTACCTTCGGCAGATTCTTCTCAAAGTTCACAACCCAAGGAGCACTCTGAACCCAATAACAAAACATCGTTACAGAGCGCTAATGTTTCTGCAATGGAGTTGCTCAGAAATCTTGAGGATTCTCTCGGAAGGCTTTCCGCAGTCCAGCAAAAACAGAGCGGTAGACAAGGTTTTTGTGCAGCCACTAACTCTCTATCTCCATCGTCATCTACGAGCTCACCCAACCATTCTCCATGTCAGGCGAAAATTTTTGAGTCTTCTAGCTTGTCACAAGACAAGGAGCAGCAACTGCCTCCAGCTGGAACAGATGACTACAACCATGCTCCAAAAGCTGTTCCCTTTTCTGAGTTGCTCAGGAATCTTGACAACCTAGCTTGTCTAAACCAGTCAACAAATGGTGTGCCTTCCTTGCAAAAAACTAACCATGGAACAGAAGGGAGTAGTATACAAGAAGGTTCTTCCTCCACACCCCTATCAACTGATGTTGTTTGTCTGTCTACTAACGAAGAATGAAGTTTGTATATTTCTCCCCATAGTTTTGCTGGCCTAAGTTCTTATGCTTATCTTTGGCCTACTTGTAAGTTGTAACTTGTAACCTGTAACTTCTAACCGTTAACAAATATGATCTCAGGTCTGTATTTTCTCAACTCTATTTGTATTTAAAGTACAACCATCTTGTATTATTTGTTGAGAAGCCTTTGAGATAAATGAAGATCACAAATTTTCCACTGCACGCCTCACTGTGATGAGCCTTGACAGCTATGGTCAATTCCAACCCTCAAGCCATTGAAGGAAGAACATGACTGCAGAGAAGATGAAAAGAAGAAAGGGTTGGGAATTGAGATAAAAGAGATAAAGTGGAAATATCTATGATTCTATATTGACATCCTAGTTCAACACGTAACACACACTCATAAACCCATCTTTCTTTGCCCTACACTAAAGCAAATAAGCAATTTTTCGCTCTACATTAAACCTTATAAATTCTTACCTATCTTACATCTTTCTTTTCACTTCTGTCGTGTATCTTTCTTCTCCTCAAAGTGACAAAAGATTAACCTTATACTCCTTAAATAACAATATTGGCTTTCAAAATGTTTTTGACACGCCTATCTAAATCTAGAGTTGTTTTTTTGTAGGATTATGCTATGTGTACCCCAAGTTTTGTACCCCAATTTGTACCCCGCAGTTTTGCACCAACACTTTGTGTTGGTGTAAAACTAATTTTTGTTAAACGCACCAACATTTGTGTCCGTGTGAATTTTTATTAACGCATCAACACTTGTGTCGGTGTAAACCATTGAAATGTTTGTGCAAATCTGTGGTGTACAAATGGGGTATATTTTTTGGTGTAAGTGTAGCATGGTCCTTTTTTGTATGTGGAGATCAAATATTTTTTGCCACCATTTCATGTCGACTCGTCGCCGGCCACATTATCACTATCGCCACATTATTTACTGCTCCTTCTGTCTCAATTTATAGTGTCTATTTTGGTTTATGATGTTTGACTACAATTATTTTCAAATCATTTTATATGACAAATGGTATTGAGTTAAAAAAATAAAAATTAAATATAAAAATACTACATTAAAAGATCTACAAAATTAGTAGTGACAATAATACTCTATTTTATAAAATTGCTAACGAAAATAGCGAAAGAAAGTCAATGAAGTTTGACCCTGTTGTGAATAGTGAACAGACACTATAAATTAAAACAGAGGAAGTACTTAATATTTACTTATTTTTAAAAATAGTAATTTACAAATGTTATCAGTTGGAATAGACCTTTTCGCATCTTATTGAAAGTGAATTTATAAAACTTATACACTACACAAACTTGTTACTTTTAACATTTTTAAATCTTTAATACTCTATATACTTTCATATTAATGAAAAATTAACAAAATAAAATATAGTTAGTTTTAATGTGGGAAATTTTATACACCTAAGCTACAATAGTAAATTTTGAATTCGAGATTAGAAAATTATTTTTTTACATGACATACTAAATTGATTATAATAAAATTAAAACTAACAAAATAACTATTACTCCCTCCGTCTTAAAATGATCTTCCCAGTTACTATTCACATGATCAAACTTTAATCATTTTCTTTACCTATTTTGTTTAGTTATTTAATAAAATAATCTAGTCATTTCACTTCTTGTTTTGTAGAGTTTTTTATGTAGTTTTAAAATATATAATCTTTTATTTGATATAATTTTTATATTTATTTGTCATACTTTTTCCGACATCACATTTTTGGGTGTTTGACTTTGACAGAGTCAAAATTTGTTTAATTGACCTTTATTAAAAAATATTCTCGTATTTAATTCATATCATTTGTTCTCAATATTTATTTCAATAAATCAATTCAAAGTTCACATCATAAATAATTTCTTTATTTATTCTTCATTTGGGTCTGTACTCAGGTTCTCAATCAAGAGTACACAAATGATCACCATATTGGATTTAAATCTATGAAATTTATCTTGATTGTGATATTGGATATTAAAACATATTTCATATCGGCCCAAAGCCCAATAACAATTTATTTTAATCAAAACAAATTTGATTAATCGAATAATTATTCATTAATAATTCTAGGGTATGTTTTGGGGCGTTACAGATCGTGTATAAAAGATAAATTATGCTCCACTAAAATGTTTTAAAATTATCTCAAAATATTTTTATTTTTATTCAAATATCAACATAGTTTCAATAAAATATGTGGGAGAGAATGATTTTTTGTGAAAATTAGTTTCTCCTAGAATAATTATCTAGACACATATTTTCCCACAACTAGATGCACCCTTAACTTTCAATATTTTCCAATTTTTTTGTTACCTTTTAACTTTTTTTTGTTTTTTCCAACTCTTTCTAATTTCTTTCAATTTATTTCTTCCAACCTCTTCCAACATTTTCAAAATTCTTTCCACTCTTTTAGTTCTATCTAACTTCTTTTGGGTTTTTTCAATAGTGATTTAAGAATTATTTGCAAGCATTTTTGTATTATTATTATTATTATTATATATCATCATCATCATTACAACTACTATTATCAGAACGGTTCTAAAATCACTTGCTCCGGAGTGGGGGTTTACTGGGATGTCGACTGTCGAGGATAGGAACCATTAATTTTGTGAATGTTGCACCATAGATACTTTAATGTCATGTGGAACCACGTAAAGTGAGTGGATATATTCCAGAAAATTGCTGTCTGGTACCCTCGGTTTTGTGAAAAGAACTTACAGATCCCATCTTTTTGAAAAATATACTCCGGGGTACCTTTAATTATCCGAAAAATAACTTCGGGGAGACTTTCCATCCTTCCCTCCGTCAAATTCATTTTTTCCGTTAACTTTTCATCATTTTCTTTCTAATGCAACTCAATAGGCAACGCGGCAGCGAGTTACCGCTGCGGAAGATAATGATGAAGTGACTAATAATAATAATAATACTCTGTAATAATAGTAACACTAGTAATAGTAATAATAATGACGATCACAATAATAATAATACTCCGTAATATAAATAATAATAGTAATAGTCACATAAGAATAATAATAATAATAATAATAACAATAATAATCTAAGAATAATAATAATAATAAAGGAAAATTCTTCCAAAGCAAGTTTTTGGATATTTTAAGGTACCCGGGTTATATTTTTAGAAATGATGGGACCTGGAAGTTATTTTTACAAAATTGAGGGTACCTGACAACAATTTTTGGGAAGAAGAAGATGAAAAGTTAACGGAGAAAATGAATTTGACGGAGGGATGGACGGAAAGTCTCTCCGGAGTTAGTTTTCAGATAATTAAAGGTACCCCGGAGTATAATTTTAAAAAAGATGGGACCTGTGAGTTCTTATCACAAAATCGAGGGTACCTGACAGCAATTTTGTGGGATATATTCTATTACAACTAAAAACCTAGTCTTTAAATACGAAACCTTTTATTATTATCATTACACGTAAATCTATTACGAAACTTTTTATTATTATCATTACAACTCTTATTATTATTTTTATTTAATATATTCTATTCAAAAATATATGTTGTCATTTGATACTTGAAAGTTGAATCTATAAATATATGAATATCAAGATTATATTTTTTAACTATCTATTTTTACTATAATATATTTTCTTTATGAAAATTATGTTCCAATAAAGAAAAATAAAGGCACAAAAAGTCCTACTAATAAAGAGGATGAAAATAATTCTTTTTAAAATTTATATTTCATTTATGAAAATACTTTCATTCAAAAAAAGTTTTATCATTTATAAATACTTTTTATACATAAATAAGTACTATTAAAGACTATCAATACCGTGATGTGAATTGAATATACATAATGACTCAAACAAAATTTAAATCTTCATAGATTTTTTATACTCCCTGTTATATATTTAAGGAAATTTTAGTTATTAAAAAGTTATCGAATACATTAAACCACAAAGTTTTTCATATTAAAAATTATCTAATATACAAAAACTCATAATGCACTAAATTTCTTTAAAAAGTTTCTCTTCTTTAATTAGGTGGTATAAGATGAGCTACTCATGAGTATATTTTAGCTCAATAAATTTTCATATAAAAAAAATAATTATTTTTTAAAAACTATATTTACTCAAAAGATTTTTAATATTATTATCGTTTTTATGAAAAAAGGCCCGAACTAATCATGATAAGTTTTTTTTATGAATAATTTATTTAATTTTCGTTGAAAAATTATAGCATTTATTTCATTTACATAATTTTCAATAAATTCAAAAGTCCATAAATTTTCAATATAAAATATATTATTTTAAACTCATCACATTTTAAAGGTTATCATAAATAATTTTCCATAAATAATGAATGAGCATGCCATGTAACTTATTTATGTGTCATGTCATTTAAAAATTACTTAGGGGCTGTTTGTTTCAGCCTCTTAATGGTTCAGATGTCTGAATGGTTCAGCACTTAATGGTTCAGACTGTTTGTTTCCGCCTCTTAATGGTTCAGATGTCTGAATGGTTAAGAGATTTGCCTCTGAATGGTTAAGTATTATACAGAGTCTGAATGGTTAAGACCTCTTATTTGAATTGATCAGACATTTGCCTCTGAATAGTTAAGCAATATACTAGCTATTAATGGTTCAGACCTCTTACTGGTTCAACACTTAATGGTTCAGACCTTTTACTGGTTCAGCACTTATTGATTCAGAAGTTGCCAAACAGCCCCCCTTAGAGAGAGAGTCTTTTGATAAGCATCTTCATACCCTTCTTTCAAGCAAAGTCCCCACCCTCCATTTTTCTTGTCTGTACTTTTCTTTTCCTTAACGGGTGCCCAAACACGTACGGTCAAAGGAGCCTATATATTCAAATCAAATTCATTCCTGCGTGGCCCCTAATGATTACTCTCACATTCTATTACTAATAATAATTACAGTATAAATCTCATACAAAAAATAGTCACAAATTACAGAAATTTATTATTTATTATTTAAATTTTCTTTTTAAAATTATTTTATATTACTTATTTTTTATTGAAGTTCACAAATAAAAAATTTGTAAAATTTATGATTAGTTTATTTGTGAATCACACATTTCTCTTTCTGAAGTGTCTAGCGCTTGTATCTTGATTTTAAGAAAAAAAAATAGAAAAATAGAAATCTGTGATTAAAATTTATACTCCCCATAAAAGAGGGAAATTAAAGTATACCACTTACGGAGTGCAATAATACTTTAAAGAATAAAATAAGAAAATGAAAATTTGTTTTAACACTATACTCCGTAATTGTGTGTGTATATTTAGGCCCCGTTTGGTATCAACGTCAGAGATTCGCGTTAGTGTTTTGAAAAAGCTATTCAACGGTAGCCTTTAGCGTTAGCGTTTTCAGAATTAATCTGCGCCATTAAAATTTTATCCAAAACGCTAACGCTAATCGAAAATGTTGTTACCAAACAAAGCCTTAGTTAGTACTTCGATAAGCCTCAATTGGAGACAATTTCGACGTCTATTGTTAACATTTTGAATAAATTATTTGACGATAATGTTTAACTTTTTTTTAAAAATAAATTTATAGTTTGTTTGGTATATGAAATTGACGGAATTGGAATGGAATTGGATTTGAAATTCTGTGGAATTGAATTCGATGGAATTGAGTTTTCCAATTTCAATTTATTTTTTGCACTACTAATTCCAAATTCACATATTTTTGTGCTACCAAACACGAGAATTGATATTGAAATCTTCAATTGCAATTTCACGACTTGAATTCCGTGTGCCCAACAGAGCCTTTGTAGTGTCAAAAATTATCCAAATAAAAAAAATTATTCCCAAAGACATCCTTAATCCTTAAGGGCTGTTTGTTTCAGCCTCTTAATGGTTCAGATGTCTGAATGATTCAGCACTTAATGGTTCAGACTGTTTGTTTCAGCCTCTTAATGGTTCAGATGTCTGAATGGTTAAGAGATTTGCCTCTGAATGGTTAAGTATTATACAGAGTCTGAATGGTTAAGAGCTATTATCTGAATTGATCAGACATTTGCCTCTGAATAGTTAAACAATATACTAGCTCTTAATGGTTCAGACCTCTTACTGGTTNCTGTTTGTTTCAGCCTCTTAATGGTTCAGATGTCTGAATGATTCAGCACTTAATGGTTCAGACTGTTTGTTTCAGCCTCTTAATGGTTCAGATGTCTGAATGGTTAAGAGATTTGCCTCTGAATGGTTAAGTATTATACAGAGTCTGAATGGTTAAGAGCTATTATCTGAATTGATCAGACATTTGCCTCTGAATAGTTAAACAATATACTAGCTCTTAATGGTTCAGACCTCTTACTGGTTTAGCACTTACCCATTCAGAAGTTACCAAACAGCCCCTTAGTCTTAGCTTGGCAGCTTGCTAACAGAAACAGCTAAACCATATTATAAGTCTCTTTGCTTTGGGTTTTGATGGTTGAGTGGTCTCTCTCGGATTTGAAATATGGTTGCTTTCTCAAAATTAATCCACCTTTGCGCTTACTAAATACCGAGCAAACATATTCAAAGATTAAGATTTCTTTTTTGTTTTCTTATGGATTCAGAAGATTTGAACCCTTTTACTTCTACATGTCTGCTGCCAGCTGACTGTTCTTCACTTCTGCATCTCTTTTCTTTATTATTTTTCATACCCTTTTCTTCAATCTTGTTGATGATGAACTTCAATTTTGATTCTTTTCCCCCAATCAGGTACGAAAGACTTCTTTTTTTTTCTTGAATTTCTTGAAAATAGATATTCTCTTCTTATTCTTAACTTTTCAAGTAAGCCAATTTAAATCTTCACCCATTATTTAATTTTTCTGATCTGGGTTTACTGCTAGAGTGTCAAAATGAGTGTTGGGCACATTCATTATCTCTGTGAGCTCTGCATTTAAGTGTGTTAGTTGAGGAATATGAATGTATCCTCAAGAGTCTGGGTGCCTAAACATAGTACTTTGTGCCAATTCATGTATAGATGACATGTGGATGTGTCTGCTACATAGGGTAGGAGTTTACTTAACCTCCCCAGATCCTTTTTTGGTTCTCTAATTGCTGAAATGTGTGAGCCCAGAGATGTTCAAGCTTTCATAGGTTTTCTGAGAACTCCAGCTGATTTCCTCCTCTCAAAGAACTTCCTGTGTGATCATGTTCCTAGAAATCATGTAAATCAGCCATTTGTTTCCCTGATTCTGAAGTTTTCCTCCTCTCAAAGAGTTTCCTGAGGATACAGGCTTGAGTCATGGCAGCAGCATTTTGAAAAAAAAGGGGTTCCATCCATCCTGTAATTCTTGTCATGTTATTCATTTAGATATTGGCGTAAAAGTTTAAACATAAAATTTATATATTTATAAATTACATTAAGAGCTCTATAAAACAAGAGCCATGGCTCCCCTTTTTTCTTCTTATTTCCGAGGAATTGTGATGTTCATTACATCTTGCGTTATGGCAGTTTTTAGTAAGGCCACCAGGATATGACAGATGAGTTTGAAAATTGTGCTTGCTGGACTCATTAGCTTGGCTTGGATGCATCAAGCCCATTGTGGTAAATAATCATTTTAATTTTCCTGTTTAAACTATATATTACCTCCATTTAATTTGTTTTCTTTGATTTCTCAGAAGGGCTTTCTAATGCATTTGAGGAAAATAAGTGGACGTGCACTTATTTCACAAACTTGAGTATTGCTACTATGGCTAACTGTTCGTCATCATGCGATTGCAGTCCGGGTATGCTTCTGATAGGAATTCTTGCTAAAATGACATGAGAAATTTAACATTTTTTTTCTTCAATGAAATAACTTCAAGGGTGACCTTTATATTTCTATCTGCAGATGGGTCGCGCCAAAGCAGGTGGAAGTGTAGATGTGCAGCTGAAGGTTTACCAGTTGTGGCTGCTGAGCATAACAATACTTGTTTCTTCACATCTTGCAGTTGCAGTTTCGGTACAATTTTCACTTTTGTGATCTCCCAAAGCTTATCCAAATATCAACATTTTTGTTTCTTATGGTGTTATTTCTGCCTCCGAATAGGGATTCCGACGAAACTACACTATCCCAAGAAGTTGATTTCAAGGAAAGATATATTTGTTATTCTCTTCATATCTTCAGCAGTTGCAAATCTTGCCTTTTTTGCGCTGATGCTGTGCTACATTATCTATCAAAGGAAAACACAATCTTCTCAACCATATCTTTTTTCACTAGATAAAGAAATGAGTTTCAGTAGTGGTACTAACTTAATAAGCCAGGGGGCTTCTTCAGAAGCAGAATCAAAAGTTTACCCGTCCACCTCAGTAAATACTGTTTCAGGTTTGAATTGTTGATTAAAAATGTTGGGAATGTTTATGTTCAACACTTTACCCCTTAAGCTTCAATGATTAAGTAATTCTGAAATTTACTGTAGGATGCATTCCCAAGGTGTCATTGCTATTCAAAAGCAAAATGGGATCATCATCATCTTCATCTTCATATGGAATGATAGTATACTTCTCATACTTTGACTTGGAAACTGCCACCGATAAGTTCTCTAGTTCCAATTTGATTGGAGTTGGAGGGAGTAGCCAGGTATACCGCGGCCAACTGAAAGATGGAAGAATCGTCGCAGTTAAGAGAATAGAAACCCAAGGAGGGCCAGATTCAGAGACCTCTTTCTTGACAGAGGTATTGTTTAACAATCCCAAGACTAAGAAATCATGTTTTTTTTGTGATGTTTGGAACCTTTGTTTAACACATGATTTGCATGTGTGTGGGTGCTTCAGATGAAACTGATATCAAGACTCCATCATTGCCATGTGGTGCCATTGTTGGGATACTGCTTGGAACACCGAGGAAACCAAGCAGAGAGGCTGCTTGTGTTTGAATACATGGCAAACGGAAACCTCAGAGATTTTCTTGATGGTGGAGCTTCCGGAAGATGTTCGGACTGGGCTACTCGAGTTCGAATTGCTCTTGGAGCTGCTCGGGGTCTGGAGTATCTCCACGAAGCTGCTGCACCAAGGATCCTCCACCGTGATGTCAAATCCACAAATGTTCTGCTCGATGAAAATTTGAGAGCCAAGGTCGTTTCTGTAAAGAGTATACAAAATGAATAAAGCTAAGGTAACCCCTACATTTTGGGACTTTCATGACCCCAAGCTTTGTACGTGCATGTGTGTGCAAAGCTTGGAGTCATGGTAACCCCAAAATGTTGGGGTTACCCTAGCACGACTCTATAAATATATTCCTGGGCCTTCGACCACAAAACTTGAGCTTATGGTTGGGTTGGTTATTTAACACTCGTTATTCTCTATATAATCTCATTTGTACTTTAAAGGAATCTGTGCAATGTAAAAACATAAGATATTAAATAGATGGGTGACCAATACTAAAAATCCAGTTTTCAGGGGCTTGATCGACTTCCTTGTTATGTGTAGATTACTGACCTTGGAATGGCCAAACAGCTGCACAGTGATGGTGGGATGGGCAGTAGTTGCTCAAGTTCTCCTGCTAGAATGCAAGGTACCTTTGGGTATTTTGCACCAGAATATGCCATTGTCGGCCGAGCTTCTCTCAAATCAGATGTATTCAGTTTTGGCGTTGTGCTTCTTGAACTGATCACCGGACGCCATCCCATTCAGAGGTCCGCGAGCAAAGGCAGGGAAGAAAGCCTTGTAGTGTGGGTACACTCCAAAACTTCGCATCCTCCTCTTTTTCACATACAAATATTCATTTTTATAACACTAATAACTCTATTACAATATAATATTTATTCATACATTCTCAACCTATTAAAACAAATAGAGTTACTGTCCCCGCTCGGGTTCAAACCTATGACCTTCTTTTTTGGGAGAGTCACCTTGATGACGTCGGACCACAAGGTCTTTGGCATATGTACAAATATTCATTTGACATTGGAAAAAAGTCAAACTTGACAAATACTCTGGGACTGAGGTAGTATTATTATTGCATTTAACTGAAATAAGAAGTATTACAGAAGTTGCATTTCTTTTACTGAAGTTGAAGGTGAATGACCATAATGCCCTCATATTTCTTCTTGCGTACTTGCAGGCAACTCCTCGTCTGCAAGACAGTAGGCTAGTGATTTCAGAGTTGCCCGACCCGAATATGAAAGGGGCTTTTGAGGAAGAAGAGATGCAGGTGATGGCTTACTTGGCAAAGGAGTGTCTGCTCCTCGACCCCGATTCTCGGCCAACAATGTCTGAGGTTGTCCAAATCCTCTCGACCATAGCTCCAGAGAAATCTAAGAGGAACAACCTTCTGCAGGGACACAACTTTAAGGTTTGTATACAAATTCCAAAAGAGAACTCAACAAAACAACTATTTATGCATTTTTCCTGATATAATATAGCCTATAATATTGTGTAGAGATCATTGAGCCATAGCACTGAACGCCGTGGAAGAAGAGTTCTCCACCCAACTGCACAAGAAGAGATAAAGCACATTGCTAACTGTGAGAAACATGATGATCACAATGTTGAGATTAACGAGAATGAAGAAGTGGGTTCGGATCAGACAAAGCAGGAAGAAAGAGTAATCGTCACTTTCCCATCAAAGGATAATAAAAGATGGCGTCCTCAAGATGATGCAGCCGTGGACTTGATTGAGCCGCGGTTTGAATCATTTCATGTGCCAAGTATTGTATGACTTGATGAGTAGAAAATGACATAAAAAGTATAGAAGATAAACGCATGCATGGTTGGCGACTGGCGTTTATTTATCAGGAGGAGGAGCCTTTGTAGAGGTGTTTTTTAATGTTGAAATTTTAACCTCATATGTAAATATCATCATAGAAGAAGAACTGTATTCCACATCGAATGTTGAGTAAGATGATAATAGGTTTATAAGCTCTTGAGTTAAACTAATAATTGATTGAATTCAATTTTTTTAAATGTGGTTCAGTCCAAGTGTCTTATGTTTCAGTGCACTTATTCTTATCCCATCCTAAATGACCAATTGGTTTGTTCTAATCACATGTGATCAAGAACTGGGCCAAAATCCCCTACCTTGGTTCAGATTAGTATGGTAATACCCAAAAATAAGTGGTGAATGAGAGCTTAGAAGACTAGATGGTACTACATGTATCACTATGATGTTTCTTCTTTTCTTTGGTCTTTTTCTTCTTGTATACTTATTAGACAAAAAACTCCAAAATCAAGTGTGTTTGTTTGTAGCGTTGGGATCCTAATAAGTTTCAAAAAAGCATGTGATTGAGGACAAAACAAGACATTCTGAGCATACAATAAGTCTATGCATAAATGGTTCACATGGTTTATATGACTGTATGTATAGATTATAAATGATTTCACTTGCTAAAGGAGAGAATCACTTTTACATACTGTCAAGTTTATGAGGATGATTCGTACGAATTGAAAGATTTCAACCAAAAATTAATGCAAAAGGTAATGTTCATAGTTGGTATCTTCCCATTGATATATGAGGACACGACCATAAAGATTTAACTAGAGTACTACACATGTTAACCAAAAACAATATACTCCTTCCATCCCGGAAAACTTTTCCAATTTTGACTTTTGGGAGGAGAAGATATAGAAGTTTGACCAAGGCGAAACGACGTCAATTGAAACAAGTTGGGCCTGGAATGGGTATAGCGTTGAAGATAGTTGATGTAAGTTTTGTTAGATTTAAAAAAAGTAAGAGCAATTGTGTTCATTTAGGCGAATTTGAAATGTTTTTTGGGATGAGTAAGAAGTGAAAATTGAAATGTTATAAGAGACGAAGAGAGTATGTGCTAGCAGGAAAATGAGAATACCTATAAATACCCTTTGTATAAACATACTTGAATGCTTTTGTTCAATCTCTCATTATTGGTAGTATATATAATTAATGTCATAACTCACAATCCGCATAATGCAAATTGAGAAGTGTTAAAGTCTCAAACATCTTGGTCACAAACTATACAAATTTATCATTTGTGCAACTCACTGAATCAAACACAAAAATGAGAAAGAAACATGTCCTTGTTAATTTTAAAAGCATTAGGGAAAGAACTTGGATTTGATATCATGTCACCAAAATTGCTGTCAACAAAATGCAAGAGGTAGTGATCGATGGAAAAAAAAGAGAAGGTTGAAAGTGTCTGTACGTGCCTTGTGATATGGGTGGTGTTTTTCTATGTTTGATATGCCTTTTATGATTGGTTCTTTTTGTTACTCCCTCCGTCCTATATTGACCTTTCCACATTGACTAAAACTCATTTTTAAGGGATTGCTTATTTTTACTTTGACTTCCAATTTTGCCCTTCCTTATAAACTTTGAATAAAAACTAAGGCAGACAAAGTTTTCCACCGAAGGAAGGCTTAGCGTTCGCCAAGGCTATTAAGAAGGAAGCTTTTAACACTGTCGCCGCCGCTTTGCTACTCCCGATGGCGAAGCCATCGAGATCTTCCAGGCTTTTTCCAAAGAGGTCAGCAAACGTACCATGCCGAATAATAAGCCATCAGTGGGCCGATGATGATTAGATCTAGCCGTGCCGTGCTGGATAAGTAGCTGTCGCCGCCGATTCATAATGAAAATTGACCGAATCTATATAAAGGTGGGCCGATGATGATTAGATCTAGAATTTAATGGAAGATGAAAGAGACGGAAAGAAGGCGGAGACAGAATGGGGAGAAGAAGAGATAAGGTGAGAGAGAGGATGTGAAAGGGGAGGCGGAGACAGAATGGAGGAGAAGAAGATTAGGAGAGAGAGAGAGGAGGTGAAGAGATAAAGGTGTGGTGGTGAGATAGTGGGATAAAGGTGAAGTTGGAAAGGTGGTTGGAGGAGTAAATGAATGAGGGGTATTGTGGTCATTACATACACCTTTTTTGTATGTGGGAAGGTATTTTTAGGACGGGAAAAAAAGAGAAGTGTGAAGATGGTTTTAGGACGGAGGGAGTATTTGCTTGTAATACTTTGTGCTCTCCCTGTTTCATGAATATGTATGTTGTGATCCTTTTTTCTGTACAGCTTGAGCCGAAGGCCTCTTTGAAACAACATCTTTACTTTCGGATAAGGTTAAGGTCTACGTACACACACCCTCACGAGACCTATTTTTATGGGACCTATTGGGTTGTTGTTGTGCTTAGTGCTAAATTATACGGAGTATGCTTATTTTTTGAGTACTATTGACTCAATTAATTTTATCTTGTAAAAAAGTTTCAAAGATTTATTGTATGGCATTAATATGTGATTGAAATTAAATACTCCCTCCGTCCCCCTGTATTTGTCCATATTTGACTTTTGCAGCTGTTCATCTAAGCACTTTGACTCATCAAATTCTCTCAATGTGTAAGCCTAAATATAGTCATGTGTGATCTTGTTTGATTTATCTTAACATATAGATTATTAATATATAATTTTTATAATTTTTTAATATACAAATTACAAGATAAAATGGATTAAAGAAGTGCATTGGATGGTGTGCAAAAATGAAAGTGGACAAATATAGGGGACGGAGGGAGTATAATTTATGACTAGAATTCTTTTTTTAGTAGATAATTAAAGTTTTTTTAATATACGACAAGAACCTCTTTAGTGGAATTGTTTAGAGAGTATAATTGTTTCACTAAGTAATTATTTTGAAAAATGAAACAATGGTTGCTCTACATATACTCCATATAAATCTCACATTAGCTTTTCTAGTTGAAGCAAGCCCTTAAAAATCTTGCATTAAAGATGTTATTAAAAACATAAAAACTGGAGTATGACTAACATACTATATTCCGTTTGTCCCAAAACAAATTCTCTTTTTTTTCTTGTCCTACAAAATCATTCTTTTTTTGTTAAAAAATGACTTTTACTCTTACTAATTATTATCTTACCTAATAGATTATACTTTTTTTACTAATAATCTATCCATCACATTACACTTCTAGCCATTACATCAATGATATTTTTGAAAAGTTAACACAAAAATAATACATATTTTTTTTAATTTTCTAAAAGTATAAATAGAAATATCTTTATGAAATAGAAAAGTACAAATTAATTTTTTTTTTGAGTAATGTTAGACTCACAAACATTTTGGACACAAATTACACAAACTTGTTATTTGTGCACTTTATCAAATGAATAATATAATTTTAAATAATTAAAAATAAAAATTTAAATACAAAAATAGCATGTTTGTGAAATTTGTATCTCACTTGTTTGTGACTCTAGCATTACTCTTTTTTTTTTAAAATTTGACTTAAAAACATTTCTACTAATGACTAACGCATTAAAAAAAATCATAATGCTAAACATCGAACCGAACAGTAACCGATCCAATTGGTACCCGAACCATCCAGTATCCATCACCTGGTATCAGTATTCATCCATTATTTCTTCCAGAAGGCTGGGTCGGATATCCACCTGGTGCGGATGAAATTGCCTGCCCTAAACCATCGTCTATCTCCCACTACGCTTCTCCAGCTCAGATCTCTCAAGCATAAATCAGCGAACCCATCCGTCGTCTCTCAGCTTCCTCGGCTCTCTCACGCTCTGTAACAGAGGAGGATGAATCCGTTGAAGATGGCGATGACTACTTTGCAACGTGAAGGGAGGCGTTTGGCCGCCGCTCCATTTCCTTCTCCCACCCCTCTCAATGCCTTCCGCTCTTCCCTTGGCTCTCCTTCCGAGTATGATCCGTCTCCTTCTTTCAATTTGTGTCCCCTTATTCCGATTCAAGTGCGCACATTTGAACAAACCAGATCATTTGTCGAAAGTTTAATGTGATTTCGCGGTTTGATTATCATCTAAAATGCAGCATGAAATGTTGGGATCCTAAACATAGTTATTGGTATCTGTTATGTTGATGAAACTGCAAATATTCTGTTTTGTTCTCTTAAGAAAAAAGATGTATCTCTACAGGATCTGATATATTGTACTGCTAATTTAGCTACTTAGAGGGCCATAGAACCTGGCATTTCTGGTCATTTACTGGCATTACAATTTGATCCCACTGACCAACAGTTTAAAGCAATTTGATTTGTTGTTTGCTGAATTTTGTTAGGACATTTTAAAAAATGTTGTGTATGACTTATTGGATTATGATGTGCTCTCAGAAATGTACTTGGGTAACCGTTTTATGCATGCTATATTGCTATCTAGGTCCAGATGCACCGCTAAGGGTGCTAGGGGTCACTGAGGGTGGTAACCACCCTCTTTTATCTATTTTATTGTTTTTCCTGCTCCAAATGGATGCCAGTGATAAAAGAAACATGTGTGTGATTCTTATTAGTGGTTTTATAAGTCTCCCTCCTTTCCTAAATAAACTTTACACTTTTCTTTTTCATCCTTCCCAAATTGTTTTTCAGTTTCTTTTCAAGGAATGAATTGTGTGGTTCATTTTGTTCTTTTTCTTTCTAAATAAATCTCTACCACACCTTTTAATGTTCTTAATCTTTTTGCCAAAAGTAACCCTAAAGATCAATTAGGGGTGGAGTATAATTTATGAGAATTGTTACTAAGGTGTATTCATTTAGTAAAAAAAGTCTGTCCCCTAATAGATACAGGCTCTCTCACTGCCTTTGTCGCTGTCGGGGTTAACAACAACGTCACCCCAGTGCGGCTGTCGGGGCTACATCTCAGTATATATCTTGTACCTACTTCTTGAGATAATATGATTGATCTTTAATGTCTGTTGCTTCATTTTGATGGTACGTCATCTCTATGAGACTCTGACTATATACAAAAGTAAATGGTATCCCGGCGCATAGATGGTTCCAACTATGCTGAGTTCAGGCAATGACAACTTTGGATAAAGATCGATTTAAATCATACATGGGTACCATAATCAGAGTATACTATTTTTCCTAGACTATTATTAACTGAATTATGCACGAATTCATATTCAATGTTGACAAAGAACCTACATGATTCCATTTCTATGTCATCGGGTCTATATCTATCGTATCTGTTATTCTGTAGGGTTATTCTTTTCTAATGACGTTTTTTGTTATATGCAGGGAGGTATGCTTATCTGGAGTCCGCTTTATTTCTACTCAAGTTGGTAAGATTGATTTTTACGTGTGTATCTGTCTGCTCTGCTCTCTGGCTCTTCATGCCCAGTCTACCTTCATCCAAATGGACTTTTCTTTAATGAATTGGTATCTTTTTTTTTCTTTTTTTTAATGAATTGATATCTTGACTATGGATTGCTGCAGTTAGGAATCGGATGAAGAGTGTTAAAAACATTCAAAAAATCACAAAAGCAATGAAGATGGTTGCAGCTTCTAAGCTTCGAGCTGTTCAGAGTAGAACTGAAAATTCACGTGGCCTCTGGCAGCCATTCTCTGTTCTTCTTGGTGACACTCCAAGTAAGTGTGTGGATTTCATTTTAAGCATTTTGCTAATTTCATAATCCCACTTTTCTGAAGGAGGTGGATTTAGTGAATTTTCTATATTAAAAGATAAAGCTCATATGATATAGGGATCATCCTTCTATTACTCCCTCCATTCCAAAATAAAAGACATAGTTACTACCCTTCGGAACAAACTATATTATTTTCTTTACATATTTTCATCGATAATGTGACCAAGTAATAGTCATGTCGCCTCTTGTTTTGTGGAGCTTTTGATGTAGTTTTTAAATATATTTTTTTTAATTTTTACATCAATTTTAAATTTAATTATGTTTACCACTGTAAACTTAATTGCGACTTATTTTGGGACAAAGGTAAATTATTCATCTTTACTTAAACATATTGTATTTTTATTTGATAATGCTTCTTATAACTCATAACATGATACGGTTCATACTTACGATATGTATCCTGATACAACAAGCCCTGAAAAAATCCACAGAGCAGGGTATGAGGGTGAGTGTATCTGTGCATGCAAACCTTACTCCTGTGTGGGACCTAGAGAAGCTGTTTTCAAGAGACCCCTTCCCAAACAAAGGAAACACACAAAAACTTGTAAAGGGAAAATAAGAAAGGTAAGGGAGACGAATACAAAAGAAGTAAGCACTCACGTAGATACAATGAGCTAAGGTAGCAAGTCTTACACAAGACCACTACCCAAAAGCTTGCCCTATCACCCTAATCCTAGATCGTCTTACGCTCATATCTAATGGTATATCCTCCGTTAACTCCCGAATCTATAATTCATATCTAATCACCTCGTTCTAGCTCTTCTTAGGTTTACCTTTACCTTTCCTCACGTACCCTACTTCCAACCTCTCGCATCTCCTCACCATAGCATCTGTACTTCTCTTTAGGACATGCCCAAACCATGTCAGCCTAGCTTCACACAATGTATCCTTCATCAAGACCACACCCACTTTCCCTTGAATATCTTCATTTCAAAGTTTATTCATTCTCGTATTACCATACACCCATCTCAGCATCTTTATCTCTGCCACTTGAGCTTCTGAACCTGAGCATTCTTCAATGCCTAGCATTCTACTACATGCAACATAGCCGGTTTGATCGCTGTCCTGTAAAACTTCCCTTTCGGTTTCATTGGTATCCTTTTGTTGCATATATAAGACCCCTCACAGAAGCTTCCACTTCATCCAAGCTACTCCAATACGATGAACAAACCTCCATCGGCCTGAATGATGGATCCAAGGTACCAAAACTTATCCCTTTTAGGTATTGAATGTGTATCAACATTTACTTCCACTTTCAACTCAATTGTCAAATCCCTAAAACATCATTCCACATACTCAATTTGAGTCGTGCTCAATTGAAAATCTTTGGATTCAAAGTTTTGTCTCCACACCTCTAACCTATCACTGTCTCCCTCACATGTCTTGTCAATCAAAACAACGTCGTCCACAAAAAATACATGCACCAAGGTACTTCCCTTCAATATGTGGCGTTTAAAACATCCACCACCACCAAGGCAAATGTGAAAGGACTAAGGGCAGACCCTGATGTAAACCCATCTCTACCATGTAGTGATCTAAGTTACTTCCCATTAACCATACCGTGGTCCTTGCCCCATCATACATGTCCTTAACAGTTCTTCTTTAATCACAACACCTTCATAAGATCTTTATAAAGACTCTATTGTATGTTTCTGTGACGTCAATAAACACCATGTTTAGGTCTTTCCTATCCCTATACTGCTCTATCAGCCTCCTCAAAGGTAAACCGTGAGTAGTTTGTGGTTGACCAAACATGCATAAATTCAAATTGATTGGTTTTCAGTAATGTTCACCCCTTTTCTCAACTCATCTTATTTGTTCCCGCTTCCCAGAACTTCAAGTTGTGACGGAACAATTTGATGCTTTTATAGTAATTATTGTAGTTCTGGATATTGTCCTTGCCCTTGTACTTTATACAATCGGATCACCACCCTCTCCTTTCATTCTCCAAGAATTTTAGCCGTCTTAAAAGTAACATTAAACAATTTGGTGGTCCACTCCAACCCATCTTTACCCACAATCTTCTAAAACTCCATCTAGATCTTTTCTAGTCCCAAAGCTCCCCCCCTCATGCTATCTGTCACCACCTCTTGTCTAATGTACCGAAAATACCTTAAATCTTGATGACTCACAGGTTTCCCCAGCTCCCTTCCCGAGCAGTGGACTCCCATACCCTCCAATATTTAGAATGCTACATTGCTACGTGAGTATGACTGCCATCAGTTTCTAACCTCCATCACATCCATCAAAATCTTGTCATCTCCGTCTTTCATGCACCACACGTGGTTTAGATCTCATACCTTCCTCTTTCACACCTTTGGCAATCAAAGCAATCTCTTCTATGATCCTCTCTCTTCTAAGTCCCTATACACAACCTATATATCCAGGTATAAAACATAAAACAAGTCAACTTTTTTGCCTTGTTTATTACGTAGTATCATTTATTTTCACTGACGCTATGTTTGGTTCAAGGAATTTGAAAGGGAAAGAAAAAGAAAATGAGAAGGAAAACATTTTTCTTGTTTGGTTTGAGGGGAAAAGAACAGAAAAGTGGAAGGAAAAGAAAATGAGAAGGCTAAATGTACTAAGAGGAAGGAAAACCAAATTCCTCCCATTTTGGCAAGGAAAATGAGGGAAACCATTTTCTTTTCTTTTCGTACCAAATTCTTTAAGCCAAACATAGTGTTAAACATACAACAACAACCCAGCTGAATCCCACGAGAGTGGCTTCACTTAAGCATACACTATTTTTATCTGATTGTGTATCTTATGACTCGTAATGTGATATGATACATACCCCCAATGTGTCTTGATACCAAAAAAACAGGGCTACTTTTTTTCTTGTGTATTACTCCCTCCGCCCTCACAATTTTTGTCTCTTTAACTATTTTGTCTCGTACCATCTTGGTAATATATGTGGCTCAAATTGATTCTTACCTCTTCACTTTAATATCAATCACACAATTCCACTTTTTATTTTTAAAGTTTGTGTGGCACCTCTTGATGTCAAAAACAGCGGGACGAAGGGAGTATCATGCTCTTATATCTAAACTTAAACATATACTCCCTCTGCCCGGGAATTTACTTCCCATGTTATTTAAGAGTTAAAAATTTCTTTCTCTCCTAACTCTCCTAAAATACCCCATAGTCTGGAAATTGAAATCAGCCTCCCAGTTACGTCCCGTGAAGCAACTATACCAGTTTCTCCTTTGATTCCTACAGCAACATAGTTTCTTCGACACGTTCCTGAAATTCTGGCGATTACAGCCGGTAAGAAGCATACAAAGTATGTCAGCAAAGCAAATTAAATTAAACATAACACCCAAAATACCCAGACAATACTATACTGCTACTGCATGCTGGGCAAATTCTCCCTCTTATATCTAGTCGGCGGCAGCGGCTGTCTAGATGTTTAGCATCGCTTGGACCACGCCTCTTGCATCTCCTCTGCAGCCTCTGCTATGGATGGCTGCAGCGGCGAGTCGGCGATGATCTAGAAAGCGGAAGGAAGAGCCGAAATGGGGAAAGTAAAGAACTGAAAGGGGGAGGATGAAGACTGGTAGCGCCTAGTGGCGGCTCTAGCCAGGGAGGGACGGATGGGGGATGGAATGAAATTAGGGTTTGGTGGTGGGGGTTGGAAAAGTAAAGAAAGGCGAAATTAGGCATTTCAAATACAACTATTTGCCAAATAAAGAAATGGGAAGAAAATTTTCGGACAATCCAAAAAGGAAAGTGGGAAGAAAGTTTTGGGACAAGGAGAGTAATATTTTTATTTGTTTTTTGCCTTGTTATATTAAGTCCTTCAAAGAGTCATGTTTGAGTAAAATGCAACTTTTTCTAATCAACTCAAGCAAGGTACAAGTTCTTGCACATTATGAATGGTAACTTGTGCCCCTAAAACTTGTTCCGAATTGTCTGGAATGATGGACTAATACCGCTTGCCGCTTTTCATTTTAATAATGTTACTAAAAAATGAAAGTTGACTTTTAAAACAAGATTCTTTTTGAGGAAAAAAGTTCTTGGAATTTGAAGCTCGACTCTCTTGGATGGAGGTAGTACACACTAGTTCGTATAATGCTTCTATGTTGCTCATTCTGATCATGTTCCTGGCATATTTGTTAAGAAATATTTTTAGAGTGCTTATCATGTTCTGACGTTCTGTTTTGAAATTTTGGTACAATAGGTGTTGATGTGAAGAAGAATGTTATCATTACCATTTCTTCAGACAAAGGTCTTTGTGGTGGAATCAACTCTACATCAGTCAAGACAAGCCGGAACATTCACAAGTTGAATTCTGGTAAACGGCAAATTCACTTTCACGAGTATGCTTGCTCCAACTGCAATTAAGTTGATCAGTATTTCTGTACAATAACTAGGTCCTGAGAAGGAAAACAAGTATGTAATTCTGGGAGAGAAGGCGAAGGCTCAGCTGTTGAGAGATTCTAAGAAAGATATTCACCTGGTTATGACTGAGCTGCAAAAGAATCCTCTCAACTATACACAGGTTATACTTTTGTTTGAGACATAACACCACTCGCTTGAACTCAACCTCATTTCCATACTCCCTTCGTCCCAAAATCATCTTCTCACTTTTTCTTTTCTAGGCATCCAAAATGATTTTTCCATTTTCTTCTTAGGAATGTTTAAGAAAGAAAAAGACAATACTACCCTAATTTTTTATTATTTCCACTTTTACAAGTATACCTCCATCGCTTTTCTCTTTTCCTCCAGCGTAATCACTCTTCCCATCACACACATCACTGAATACCATTCTGCGGCACTTTCCTTCAGCTCTCCTCCATCTTCCCTTATTTCTATCCATCAAAATCAATTTAATCTCCTAAGGTCTTGTGATCCGATGTTTCACATTAGCAATTACCCTTGATTCCAAATACTTTCGGGGTTGGTGGCAGTTGTGCACTCCACCCTCCACCATGCTTCATGCCTGGAGCACGTGTTCTTCCACTTTTGCAAGCTTGAACGTTCCCCTCACCCAATCATGGTCCTCGGAGCTTTTGAGTACAGCCACGCCAATTTATTTTGGCAAATACTTTTTTGATACTTCTGGTGAGACCCAAACCTTCTGCGGGTATTCAGATCGGTAAACACATGTTATTAAACACCAATGTGATGCTCAAAAGGTGGATGGCATGTCAGAGGTAGATGATTTACGAGCTGGGCTCACTGCCAGCATTCTTTTTGTACTTCAGTGGATTAATTGAGCACATTGACTAACCAACATGCACATGGAGAATGAGAGGAGAGATATGAGCAAGGGCATGGCAAAACGGGGAAGTACTCTCTTGTCAGCCTTTGCTTTGGTCCCCAGTCCCAAAAAGGGAAAGTACCCTCTTGTCAATCAACAAAAACAAGGGAAAAATACACAGGCTCGTCAAACAAATTCAATAAACCAAATGAAAAGGGTCAAGTACACCAAGCACAAAAGCACTACGTCTGGAACAGCACCATGCTCCGACTCTATCTCCAAACAAGCTTGACTATTGCTTCCAGAGGCACTTGCAATAAAATTCTCGGTATGAAGGCTAGGCATCTGAGATTAAGGTTGGTTGCGCAATTCAATCTGCTGTTCAAGACAAGGTTGCGTCCCCACGGCTGCCACGGCACTGTGATCCAGATTCCAGAACCTCAGCATGCACCTTGGGTTGCTTCCTATGCTTAGCACGTTTGGAATTCCCCCCTGTACTAGCTTTATCAGTGGATACTACATCCCTGGTTTATGGCCTTTCCGATGCTAAAAGATGCTTTCCCTTCAAGTGCTCCCACACTGACAGGTGATCACGGCTGGTCATCTTCTTTAGGAGAAATTGAAGGATTTGCAGTCAAAGGGATTATATCCGAACTTTTTGCAATGATAGCAGTTTCGGGAGGCTTTCATACAGAACCTGTTGAACAGCGCTCCCACCCTCCAAGTGAACTTTGAAAGATGTGACAAGTTCCTTCGACAGATCAATGTTAATCAACATACGACAAAACCCTATCTTGGCTTTTTCCATAGTATCACGATCCAGCCCTTTCAAAAAGGAGTTCCCAACTTTGATCGCAAGTGTTCAAGAGCCCATTTGCTCCACAATTGCAATGACACATCAAGAAATTTCACCCAAACTGTGGTCATCATGAAGGCATCAAAATCAAACTTTCAAACTGGAAATCACCCAGCCTTTATGATGAAGAAGTTTGCATATAACTCCCCACTAGGACATTAATCCTTCAATGTCCTTGATGCAAGGGAACCGACCGGTGAAGCAACCAACGATACAAGCCCCATTCTCATACTTATGAAAGAACAACTTCATCTGAAATGTCAACCTAGTAGCTTAATATCAAGTCACACTGGATTCTTTCTTTCTGACTTTCTTTCTTTCTTTTAAATAAATAAATCTCCTCTTGCTTTTACTCTATTGACTTTAAGATATCAGAGTACATTAGCAGAAGCATTTTTTGTAACATCCATATTATTGGTTTTTAACCCTTTAAAGACATTGTTGGTCTTTCTTTGAATGTTGTATTGTCATGTTAAACTGATTCCTTGTAGAAGCTGACAAGGTTTGGATGAGTTGGAAAGGGAAATAAAGGCTGAGGATCTTTTATGCATTGCAGGTTTCTGTGGTAGCTGATGAGATACTTAAAAATGTAGAGTTTGATGCTCTGAGAATTGTTTTCAACAAGTTCCAATCAGTCGTCTCATTCTTACCAACCATGTCTACTGTATTATCACCTGAGGTGACTGCACTTAACCTTGTTTGGCATTGGACCCCCTCTTATATCCAAATAAAGCTCGTTAGGAGTTGATATGCTTGTTTGTTACATCTGTTTTCTATTGTAGGCGGTTGAGAGAGAGTCTGAATCTGGAGGGAAGCTTGGGGATTTGGATTCTTATGAAATTGAAGGTGCCGAGTCCAAGTCAGAAATCCTTCAGAATCTTACAGAGTTCCAATTTTCATGTGTATGTG